AAACGAAGCAACCATCAACGACAGTGAGGCTGTGGTGACGTTCGATGGTCGACGACCTCCAAAGAAGTGGCAGCGCGGCGTTGTCATGGTAGGATATGGATGCAACGATCCACCTCCAATCGCTATCGACTAAGCAGAAACATCCCACGATGGTCTCTTTCTTCGGCAGTGACGGGAGGTCACCTACGGTGGCTTGTGGTCGGAGAAACAAGGGGAGAAAAGTCGGTGATGGCGGCTGGAGGAATGGAGGTGAAGAGGGTGACGACTCAATCTAAGAACGCTAGGGTTAGGGTTGAACGGAACTTGGAGGTTAAATACCCGGTTCACATAAACTATACTCCATAGTAACACAAACGACCCCTCACTTCCAGATTTATTTTCAAACTTAGTCTATATTTTACACTTTTAACCCCATCCTCTAAAATTCTTTACAAATAAACTCCATAATTTACTCAGTATCCCCTTGACCTCTAAAATCTTTATAATAATCCGGAGATTATATATTTTTAACACCCTAAACTTTCAACTATTTATTTTGGGCTACTATTTGTTCATTAATTAATTAATTAATTAATTTAATAAATAAACGGGTGTTACACCAACACGACATGTTTGTGTTTAACACAACATGTTGGTGGTTGGTGGAGAAACCCTAATTTTTAGGGTGTTGCACCCTATTTAACGGCCTTAAGTCCTCGTGGTTGGCCTCCTTACCAACCTAATTTGCCATTAAAACCCTAAAATCAATCTTTAAATCTCTTGGTGGTGTTCTTGAGATAGTGAGAAGCTTTTGGTGCTCATTTTTTGTCCTTATGAAGGAAGAAGAGATCTTGAAGTTGGCTTGCTTGGTGGAAAGGCTATGGATCCAGAATCATCTTCATTTATGCAAGCTTTCTAAGGTATCAAGTTTGAACCTTGACTTATAGATGCTTAGATCTCTTCATATTGTGCTTTGTTATGCTTTTGTCCCCTTTTTGGGTTGATGAGTGAGTGAAGTCGTTTTATGGGTTTGCTATTCCATATATGAGTTGTATTGGAATCCTTGAGCATAAAGGTGCAAGATCTATGAGAAAATTTAGTTACATGCATGCATTAAGTAATGTATTAAGTCCCTTTTAAGCTTAAAAGCTTCATTTAGACGTGCATAAACGTAAAGTCGGTAGCTTTACGTGGTTTTCCAGCTCAAGGAGGTCAGATCTATGTTTTGGGGCTATGTCTTTATGCGTTAAGTGCTTATTGGTTATGCCTTGTGCTATTAAGACTTCGGGTTTGGGTTTTGGACCCTTTTTGGTAGTCCTTATGGGTAAAGTTGGAAACTTTACCCTTCTAAACCTCGTTTTGGTCTAGATCTGGTTGTTAGAGCTCTTGGGGTCGAAGAAGGCATCTTAATGAGTTAATCTGTTGGAACTCAGACAAACACGACATGTTTACAAGTAGAAATGGCGTGTTGGCTGGGGTTTTCCCTGACTTCTTGGATGATGGCAAAACACAACGTGTTTTCAAGTCAACACGACGTGTTGGGTCAACATGGACCATTAACCTTGACCTTGACTTTTGTCTTTGACCAAGTTTGACCCTGGGGAGGGTGTTGAGGTATTTTAAGTTATATCTAAGGATTGGTCATTATTTAGGTGTCGGTTGGAGTTGATATTCGGAGTCGGGACCTATTCAACTATTGTTCAGATTCAGAGGTGAGTTTCCCTCACTATGTTTAGCGGGTCAAAGGCACCAATGTCGACCTGAGATATGTTATGTTAGAGTACCCGTTGTCTGTCTGACACTTATATATGTGCTTATATGCTTACTAGGGGGGGGGGGGCGATGGTTACTCTGTATGCTATTACCTGTTATGCTTATATGGATTGTGTGTGGGAGGGGCCCGTTATACTCATTGGGCGAGGCCCGTTATGCGAGTTGGGGCGGGGCCCGTTATATTCATTAGGTGGGGCCCGTTATGTGATATGTATATATGGTATGTGGTATCTTGGGGAAACTCATTAAGCTTTGTGCTTGCGGATTTCAGTTTATGTTTCAGGTACTTCCAGATCCAATGGGAAGAGCTCGGGATGACTGCATTGCAAACACCACATCGTTTCCGATTTTTGGATATTACTTTGATTGAAATGATGTTTAATACACTTATTTTCATTTGAGTTGTATGGATAATGTTTTGAAATGCAGTTTTTATTTTATTAAAAATAGAATTTTTTGATCATATTTTAAGACGTTATAAATATTTTTCAGGTATGATTGAGATAAAAAGAAATGTAATAAAAACAAACCATACAAATGATCACGTGTTAAAAAAGTTTAGTAACCAAATACACATATTATCACAAACAACAAAGACCATTCGTGTAATTTACTTTAAAAATGGGGAAAATGGTCTTGATTTTCCTTTTATAAAATTAACCACAAGAAGAGTAACTTAGTCAATATATTTCTTTTATAAAAAATGAATAAATTCTAGATATAAGAAAAAAAAACTTTTGCTTAATTTAATGGAGTAAAAGCGGATACATATACGATTTTTGAATTTTGATTAAGCCCTATGATTTTAGTACGAAAAAAATGGATTTACAATTTAACCTTACCTTTTACAAATTTGCGTGTTGTACAAACCAACCTTTTTTCTTATATATTTACTGTCGCGTACAAACCTTGGCTCTCAAGTTTCAACCCTCACTTCAGTGAGTTAGTCCCAAATTTTGGTTATCGATCGTCACTGTCTTCCCACGTCGTAGAGAAACCTTCAATCTCTTCTTGGTTCTCCATAGTGGCTCCTGTCCTTAGCCTCAGAAAGAGATATATAGAGATGGTAGAGAGAAAGGTTTTGAATAAATACTATTCGACTGATTTTGATCCAACAAAGATTCCGAGAAGGAGAATACCGACTAATCAACAAATGAAGGTTAGAATGATGCTTCCGATGAGCATTAAGTGCAAGAATTGTGGAAACTACATGTCCAGAGGCACCAAATTCTAACTCGTGTAAAGAAGAAGTCAAGGGAGAGACGTATCTTGGGATGAAGATATTCAGATTGTATTTCAAGTGCTCCAAATGCTTTATGATAAAGATAGACCCACAAAACTCAGATTATTTGGTGGAGTTTGGAGCCGGTAGAAATTTTGAGCCTGTTGAGAAGGAGAAGCAACCAAGCACCCAGTCCTTGGAGAATAAAGGCAGATGGAGATTCTCTCTGGACTTGAGGAAAGGAAGTCACCGAAGTCAAGACATGCAAGTGTGAGTGCAGATGCAATGCTTGAAGTTTTGCAGCAACGATCAACTCCTATGGTACAACAGGAGGAAAAGCTTGAAGAAGAGATTATAAAATCCATCTTTCAAAAGAGGAGGAAGGTTTCTCAACAAGTTTCTGATCATAGCCCAACCTTCCAGTACTTCAAAAAATCGAAAACAAAAACAAAAACAGTGTCGGATGGTAGACTAGATGTTCCCAAGTCTTTGACCATGAAGTTGTTGTGTTTTTGGAACAACCAATCAGAGGCTGAATATGATCAAGAGATCAGTAATGGACTACAACTGTTATGCCAACACTATGACAATGGACAACAGGACAAGAAGAAGAAGAAAAAGAGTAATCGTATCGGGTTCACAGTTGAAAACTAATACTATTTTATTATACTTTTATCCCCTGTTAGATTAATGTATGTCTATAACTGATTGTTATTGATTTTAGAGTTGGGAAGATAAATCTATTATGGTTTATGAACATACACACACACACACACACATATATATATATATATATATATATATATATATATATATATATATATATATATATATATATATATATATATATATATATATATATATATATATATATATATATATCATTTAGGGCATCTATAATGCATTAAACTCTATATAATTTAATAGATTGCTTCATCATCTTTCTACAATCCATACAACTGTATCATTTTTTTTCCTAAAATGCATTGAACTCTATAAAGTTCAATAGAATGTTACAAAATATAATTTATAGTAAATATTTAAGAATTAAAAACTCACCATTCCCTAAAAACTTCCCGAAGAAGAACCTAAAATCCATAAAAGACCAAGATATTGGTTTACAGTCTTACCCTTGGCTTCTGAAGACATAATTGAATACATGGATCACTTAAATCATGGTAACTACATCCAAAATAGGCTAAATCCTTCCTTTCCCGAAGCCCTAAACCATATGGCAACTGATGATTGGTCCGCAACCCCGAGTAACAAACACTTTCAAAACCGGGTGTTACAGCACCGCATACGGGGTTTGATATTTTGGAAACCACAAACTGCACCGCAAAACTCTAAACCGCATTATGCAGTGTGATTTGGTGCGATGATTTATGCGGTTTCGGTGTGGTTTGTACGGTTTGATGAGTCCAACGTTAATCGTTAAATTAATATGTGTGTGTGTGTGTGTGTGTATATATATATATATAATTTTGTTTGCCAATTTACACATCTTTTACTTTCATCGTGTATTTGGCTATGACATTTAGTTTCTTGTGATATTATCACCGACAGCATAATCTCTAAATATTATTAAAAGAAAACCTTTAATTCACCAATAAAACAATCAAGACCTTTGATTGTATTTCAATCATATGTTTTCCACCATTAGATCAAATTGATGACATCATCTTTTCCAAAAATAATTCAAATACAATTACATTTAATTATATAATCTTTAAATTCAACAATTATGCTAACAATTGAAACATATCATTCTATTTATATAAAAGATATCAATTTCTATAATTAATATTGTTTCTAATTTAACTTCCTTATTTATAGCTTTTGGCTTCAAATTTTAAATTCGTTTTTTAATAACTTTTTAAATAACCATATCATTAATTTGGTTATTAACTCATAAAATCTAATCTAATCCCATTAAATCTGCAAAATATTTGAGAGTCAAAATTAAAGTCACTATCATTTATTATTTATCTCATAAAATATCCCACATAAAATGAATCGATTTGAGATAATGATTTGAATTTTAAAACTCATAAAATAAGCAAGTCAATTAATTTGTAAATTTGAATCAATATAACTGATTTATTTCTTTTTTCTAGATTAATAGCCGGAAATCTCCAAGATTATATCATAGGATCTCATATTTTTTAGAAGATAATGATTTGATTATTCAAAAACACCACATATATATATATATATATATATATATATATATATATATATATATATATATATATATATATATATATATATATATATATATATGGTGTTTTTGAATAATCAAATCATTATCTAGAGAGAGAGAGAATTACATTGAATTTTTTATTCTTACGATTTTGGGTTGAGTCGTACGATTTATAATGCTCTTCTTCAATGTTCTTCTCCTCCATTTCTTTTTTCCAAATTCTTTCTTTACTCTGTTTCCTTCTTCTTCTCTAATTTCACGCATTTACTTTGTTCTTATTACCTGTTATTACTATATTCCCGTTGAGATGTCATAAAAAAATTAATCAATCTACTAGAGGAAAGATATGTGCTAACGATTTTGAATTTGTATTGCCCTCTAGAAACCAATCATAGTCTCATAGACTATTCCCACATATCTTAATAGGTCTTAGCATTCCCCCAAATTTAGCTACAAGAAGTCATGGATGCACTTCTTGAATTAATCATCTAAACTGAAATTAATTTGTTAGTTAGATGTAGTGACCAATATGCAAGATTTGTGAAAGTTCGTTATTATTTATTAGTGTTAACCTTTGGCAATTTATGAAACTAATATTATATTTTTGTTCATAACAAGGTTTTTTTTTCTTTGATCGGAAGATATGTATATCTAATTAGGCGTAGCCTGAAAAATCATATTTTAATTCTTATATGGAAAAAATACTTTATAAATTGACCAAATTACAATGTCTGAGTTTGATGTTTATGTCCATGGCAATGCACTTTAATTGTAATGTTTATCAAATTTCTTTACAGAATTTAACATTGCTGGTACATATAACAACTTATTGTTACTTTTGGTTTTACATGACCAATATGAAAAGTATCATATGAGCCTCCGTGGGGGTTGGTATACTGAACAAAGTCAAATCATAAATCTACTACACAACATGTTTTAATCAATGAGTCGCATCATGTTGTGATAAAACAAATATCACGTAGATCATTTATGTTAAAAATTATTGTATTAAAACACCAAATTGCTCTAATATAAATATTAAATATTTGTATTTAATAAGTTTGGTTTAAAAACTCAAAATGAATCTAACTAACATTTTTTTATTAAAATTTCACATAAAACAATACCATCTATTAATGTAATGTGTATTTAATTTATATTCTCCGCGTTTAACGCGGATCATAATCTAGTTATTAAAAAAAAAACAACTATCATACTTGAAAAAATCAAAACGATTAAAATAGATGTTGAAACTATTTGAAAAACAAGTAAAACAATAATAGATTAAATAAATGTTTCAATAACAACTATAGTTGAATATTTAAGTGATATTTGATAGTTTTTATTGGATTTACTATATGACAATGTTTATTTTTATCATAAACATGTCATGCATATAATTAATTAACCAATATTAATATGTCGTCCGACAGCGACGAGCTCCAATATTTATAGGTAAGAATGTAAATTGGTCCGGAACCGGAATCGAAAAAACCGAAATCGAATTAGTCGTAAACTAAGAACCAAAAACTAGACCAAATATCACTAACCTGTTTCAATCGATTCCAGTTCCGGTACGGTATTGGTTGGGGTTCGATTCTACTAAAAAATATGCTATTTAAGATGTTTAGAACCGGAACGGGCCCAATCAGGGCCGGAAGCATAAAATCGAATATCAAATAAACTGTAAACTAAAAACCGATAAGTGGACCTCATACCATCAACTGATACCAAACCGGTTCCGAGTGATATTATGTGATTATATGACAAAAGATTGTATTTGGTTTGTGTAACAACAATGGCAGTAGAAATACCTTAATTTTAACAGTGCGGAACATTAGTCTGGAATGATCGTACATTCCAGACAGAGATTCAAAACACACTTTTCCAGTTTGAAATGTACATGTCAGATTCCAGACAAATCTTCTACCAACCACCGCCTACTCCAAAATGACTATGGTCGTGTTTGGCACGAAGCATTTGAGAGCTTCTAGCTTACGGTGTTTGACAAAACGCTTCGTGTTGAACAGAAAGTCTCGTTTCGCACTACAAGCTGCTATTGTTTAGTTTAAACAAAACTCTCAAATTTTTAAATGCTATTTCACATAGCGTTTAACACAACGCTACCGGATACAAGCTACCCGCTACCAGCTAGTTTTCCCAAACATACCCCATAACTACTCCTGAATAAAGTATTTCCGGATTAAGTGGTTATTTTTCAAAAACTTAAAAAACTGATTATTTTCTTCAAATACTTCACTTATAATGGTTAGTTTAATAAATTTCCCTTATAAATATTATCTTTTGATGCTTCCTGATACTATGCAAAAATGTATATTAATATCACCTTTACGTAGTATTAATACCAATATTAATAATGGAATCTTCATCTAAATAGTCCACTTAGATTTTATGGTCTCTTGTTAATTGTACCTCTTAAAGTTTCAAGAATCGTCATCTTTGTCCAAACTTTTGCTAAACTTTAGAGAAGACTTTGCAAAGTGAGGTGACTTGATAAGAAAAAAAATTGAAAAATATAAAAATTGAATTTTCTTGTTTCATATAGAACTACATGTATATAATATCTACTTGGGAATTTAAACTCAGAATATCGATTTAGTGTAGTGTCAACATTTTGGGTTTATTTATGAGGTATTGGGATTTGTTCCATGTATGTGTGTAATAGATAAATAAAAGAATGGTGTAAAAATGAGTGGAATTAAGTGGTTAATTTATAAATAAAATTTATAAAAATTTAAATTTGATTTTTTGACATTATTGTTGTTCAAATAGCTAGTCAAAGAATTAAAAGCAGCCAAATCATCTCATTAGTTGTGCCCCCTTTTGATAAACATAACAAACCAACACTACCGTTGCAACAAATGTTCAAATGATTTTTAAGGAATGAAGTTGATAAAGACTGATGTGTGCAACAAAACACGTGATCAATTTTTAAGTAATAGTTTAGCGTCATATTAAACTAAACGTTTTACAAAGTATCGATAATGATACAATTATTAAAATATTTCATGATAAAAATCACATCGAGTATAATTGTAAGAACTTTAATATAACTATTGAAAAATAGAAGATGTGGATGCGAAAAGGAAAAACATGAAATACCGGATTTGAGAGGTGGAATGACAAAAGTTTAGAAGACAAAAAAAAAAGTTTAGAGCAAAAAAGATAAGTCACTAGAAGGAAGATAATTAAATCACTTTGAAAGTTTGAAACACTTTCATACTTTTTGGTTTCCCTAATTTGATTTAGCTTATTACATCCTAACTTTTTATTTTAATTTTAATTTTTTAGTTTGACCCACTAAAAGTTTATAATATATAACATACTAGTTGTGAGACCTATTACATGAGTTAATTGGAAAAAAAAATTAATATAAAGATCAAAATATTTAAGAACTTTGAATTTATAAGTAAATAAAAAAAAAATATTATAATGTAAATATTTTTTTTTATCTTTTAATGTTAAACAAATAATCTAAATGAAGAAAAGAAACTTATAATATTTAATTTTAGGAATTTTGAAATTAAAAGTTAAGTTTATTAGTAAAATTATTATTCATTAGTAAAATTAGTATTCATTTATTACAATATTTATTGTAATTATTATATTAAAATATTATGTAGAATTTAATAAAATAAAAAAAAACTCAAAATGATATGTGGAAAAAAAATTAATTCAAAATAACTACAAAATAATATTTGGCAAATTGAATAAGAGTGTGACAAGTGGCAAAAAACATTCATTTATTTATAAAAAAATATATATTAAACGAGTCATATTCGAGTCATCTTCAAGTTGAAAGTCCTGACTAGGGTTGTAAACGAACCGAACGTTCAACGATCTGGTTGTGAACTGTTTGACGAGAAGTTCATTTATATTCATTTATTTAATAAATGAACGTACATAAACAAAGTTTCACATTTGTTTAGTTAAACGAACGAATATGGACAATGGTCTCGATCGTTCAGTTATGTTCGTGAACGTTCGTTTAAGTTCATTTTATGTTCATATGTGTTCAATTTTATTTGATTACATTATTATATTATATGTTCATTTTTATTCATATATGTTCAATTATGTTTATTTATCTCCATTCGTTTATGTCTGTTTAGGATGTTCATGAACAAACCCTCGTTTGAGTTCGTTGGCCCTAGCTACTCTCGATCCTAACCCAACCTGTTTAAGTTTTATGTTATGTCGTATCAGCCCGTTACTTAAATATGTTGAAATCATTTACCCAAACTCGTTAACTTCGTGTCGCGTTGTCGTATTATGTCATGTTTTATCACGTCTAATATAAACCGACACGCCATTAGTATTTTTTACCTTTTTAGTTTCAATTAAATAGAAAACACATGTTTGCCATTATATTGTTTCTGGATTTGCTTCAAGAATTATGAATACAGATAGATACAAGATTTTTTTTTTTTTGATATAACTTGCAAGGAGCACTACCTTTTATTCTTTTCAAAGGTCAATATTAGGTTCATTAATATGGCCGATCGAAATCTCTAAGGTCAAAACCAAATTCTATAATTTGTTTTATTAAAAAATTAAAATTATTATCTCACTAATATAGATTCAACTGTCATATTTACTATATTTAACTAAAACTAAACCTGTTCCCCAGAATACAAATATTAAATCCTTCACAAAAGCATCTCTCATTTTTTTAATCAGTACATACACTTGTAAGTTGTAACCTGTATATATAATACATAAACCCGAAGCAAGTTACTCGAAACACGAATTAGAACAAAACTTTGGTATATATTTTTTAATAAAAAAAGATCAAATTAATCACGTTATAAAAACCCAAATCTAATGCTTCCTTCCATTAAAGAAATCAACACCCATACAACCTGTAAGCGAACTAAAAAACTGTATAGCCCGATTCAAATACGTAACCGGGTGGTCCCACAAGCTCCATATATTCAACAACCGTGTTCTTCGGGCATATCGGGCAGATGTCACAATGAACGGGTAGGTCAGGTAAACTGACCGGAAAACAACAAACACAGTCGCCAGAAATAGATATGTCTCTTGCCGGAGTAAATTTTCCGGCGACTTTGCCCATGAAAACGGGCAGAATTCCGGCTCACTGCTGTTGTTACTTTTATTGTGCACAAATGTATCCATTTTGTCTAGAGATTTTTTATCCATTGATTCCGCTTCAACACCTATACCCATTAAAAAAAATTAACACTTTTTCATAAATTTTTTTTTATTATGTTTTCTTTCAATTTGGAGAAAATAAGGAAGCTGAATATACCTGTAACATCCGTGTAGAAAGTCATAAGAGAACCCAAAGTCCGTGGGCCATGATAACGCACACGCATTGTCGAGTTTAGAATAAATAATGTAGGAAACCCATTAACTCCATATTTCGAAAGTAAACTACAAAAAAAAAGTATGGGAAATGTAGTTTGTTTGTAACATATTGTTGTTATTGGTAAAGAAATGTAAATATGTTGCTATTATGGGTAAAAAAAAATATAAGTATGTTGTTGTTGTTATGTAATGGGAAGATAATAAAGTAGAATATGCTATTATAGGTGACAAACCTCGGCTTTACGCGGGATTCTTCGATTGCAAAATGAGGGATGGAAGGATAGAATGAAGACATCAATGATAAACTTGGTTTAAAGATTGTGGAGAATGGGCACCATGATGCATAGAAAAGTACCACTATGTAATTATGGGTATTTGCGTCAATCATACTCAATGCCTTTTGTATCGATGTGTCATCTCCCTTCGTAAAAAGACGCGAAAATCAATATCAGTATCAGTATCGATATCAGAATCAGATGATTAGATAATCGGTTGATTAGAGAAAGGGATAAGTATGTAATGTTGCATTATAAATGGATTTTGTTGTATAAAGTTGTGCTTGCAACTTATTCTATGTATGTACCAACAAATTCACAAATTCTATGAATGAAAGCAAATCACAAAACAAGTCTTGATGAGTATACTCATAGATATATCCAATTATCCATTGAGCACAACAAAATCATGAATTAATATGATGAAACTAAAAATCCCCAAATAAGAAGCATTGGTTATTAGTTATTACCCTAATTTTATATGAACATAGAATATGACTTCTTCAAAGCCACTCAAGATTGACTTTACCTAGAGGAATGCTAGATTGAAACGCCTAGTTGATATAACTTCAAGAACAATTATTACATGTAATCAGAAGCGTGTAAATACCTCAATAACACCGATGGAACAACCGATTCCACTTGATGGACAGATGGAATCACCAATTCCAAGGATCGAAGCTTTGATCGACTTTGTAGGGCAGACAGGATTGGAAACCCTAGAGAGCTCATCGGCGCACGTTAGCCTACCAAGAATCGCCAATAGAATAAACCCAGTTCGCAAAACCCTCGTTGGACTCATAGTTATGGTTGATCTCGATATATACATACGGATACAAAGAGATCAATCAAATTCATAAAGAGATGAATCACGAATAAAAAAGCCCCAAATTTTGATGGATTGAGTGAGCCTGGGGCTCCGATAAACTGCAATTAATCTGCATATGAACAAATTTCTATAAAAAATCTTAGCTTTTTCAGAACCCAGATCGGGAAGCCAAACAATTTGGACTTTAAAAGACTTTAGTTTGATGAATGCATAAAATTCGATGGTTTTACTTCCTTTTTTTTGGGTTTTCAGGAGTCCAAAGAGAAAGATGATGATTACACAGTGTTTTCTGTTTTTATGATAATCGACACCCACTATCTTAAGTTATCAGATAGGCCCCTCAACTTTACAAGAACAACTTTTCAGTCCAATTATGTTTTAATAGTATATATAATTTTCAATATTTATAAAATTATAATTGAAAATTTCAATATCTTGTTATTTTCTCCCATTTTAGATATTTTTGTTAAATCTATTCATCGAACAATCATTGGCGTTTTCCTTTTGTTATGTATTTTAGCTTTTCTTGTTAGATTTTGATCATACCCATATCTAAAATCAAAGAATGTTATAAAAGTCAAAATATAACAAATCGTTTGTTTACCCCGTAGGGTATATGTTTGTCCTTTATTAAGCATGTCATGTTCATACAATCGGTTATGGTAATGACGAATTTGGTTGATACAAGTCTCCATCGACAATTATTATGTTTGCAATACTTTGTTTTACATACAAACTAGTTGTTTGATGTTTATAAATATAAAATCCCATAGCTTAATTAAAACATGTTAACAATGAATTTACCTCGGTTTTGTCGCTAAGAGTGAATGTCTTGCATTCCTTTGTTACTTTGGATATTAACGAAAAAAAAAAAAAAACTTGGTATAATGGACCAAAGAAGAAAATATGCTTATAACGGAGAGAATGAGAAGAAATATATGTTTTCTGTTCTGATTTTGAATGTAGTTTTAACTTCTAATAAATGCCTAATATATTATTTAGTGATACAAAACTATGATTCAGAATAATCCTTAATGCTAGGTTTTTCTTTTGAACGTCAACAAACTTGTATAAAATAACCAGCAAGAAACTAATAAAAAAAAAATACAACATCAACCATTTTTAAAAGCGAAAATTAGGTTGCTAAATGAAGCTAACTAATCTAATTCATGTCCATGTAATGTGAGTCTGTAGTTGAAATAGAAAATTTTTGTAAAATTATTCATGATTTAAACTTTGCATGCTCAAAATATTGTTACTGCTAGACATTTTACCCTCACATGATGGGTCGTGGATCGAGTTCGGTGTGAGTCGTTCAAATGGTGGTGTTTACTTTTTTCAAGTTAAGCAATTTAGTTCTAGTCATCACTAATAATACACGAAAAAAATATTAAAATGTTATGAAAAACAACATCCTTCCTAGGTGAGAAGATGCGAGAAGAACCTTCTTCCGAAATCTTCAGAACACCCAAAAGAATAGGAAAGTAACATGCTTAGTATTGTGCAATTAATATGATGTCTTCATTTGATTCAATAATCAGATACTACTGTAATCGTGTGGTGTCCCCCTAATGAATAAATAAATTATCACTTTGTCTCAACCTCCAAATCACAAATACGACAATCTGAAATCAATATCTATTCCACGATTCTTCAAGTTTTCTCGATTAGGCATGTGATCCAAGTGGATTCTACATGCTAAATATAAACCTTTATTGGAGAAACATTAGTACATATGTTGTTGATTGAAGAAACATTAAACTCGTGAAGAAAATTAGTTAGGGTAGTGATATGTGCATTTTATGTACTTTTTTTATAGTTTGTTTTAGCATATTTTATTTTATTTTGAGTTAATCACCATGCATATTTTTATTATATTTATTTTATATCCATATCATAAACTTTCTAGTCTGTGTGCTTAATTTTAGGTTTTCGAAGACAACAGGGATTATCAAGAGATTAGTTGGATTAAATTAGACTTGAAGATTTATGCTTTTTGGGCTTGATGAAGTGGATTGATGATTTTGGCTTAGGAGAGTTGATAGAGATGATTGGGTTAAATGTTAGGTCTTTTAGAAGGAATTTGTGCCTTTATACTCGGGCATGGAATGTTGGAACAAAGCGACAACAAAGATCTTGGTGAAAAGGACATGTGCTGGAAGTAAAAAAGAAATCATACCTATTCACTTGGTCCGCGTAAGAATCCAAAATGGTTTGCGTTAAAGTTGTAAGGACCATTTTATCATTTCATGTTTGACAGCTATTGTGTGGATGGTTGGTGAGCTTATTTAGACAACTTTGAACCATGCATAAATGAGTATTCTCTTTGAAGTTTTTGAAGTATTTGAATAGGGTTTTGAAAGGTTTCTTTCATCTAGTTCATTGGATTGATGTTTGGTATTTTTGAACTTTTATTTTTAATCTTAATCATGCTTAGCTAAAATAATATTTTGTTGATGTTGGTATAATCCACTAATAACTAGTTATTTTGAAGGTTTCTTATGAACTTGTGATGAACATTAGTGAATGCAATGGTTGGGATCCAAGTATTTACATTTCTTAGCCTTATTATGAGAGTTATTGCAAAATTGGTCCCTTCATACGTTGGGCGTACTTAAGGAGTACGCTTAGCGTACGAAGGATGGTTGATCGTGGAGGTTCGTCATGTACGATGGGCGTACCAAGGGGGTACGCAGGGAGTACGTGACTGAAGACCAATACCCTAATATCCGGGCTTGAGAGCTATATAAACATCCTTAAGTCTTTTGGACTAAACCCTAATCAGCCTCCATAGCCTCATTTTGTCCCTTAACCTCAGATTTCCTTGTGAGTGTGATTCTTGAGCTTAGAAAGTGTGTTGATGGCCATTTTTGAGAGCGTTCAAGAAGGAGAAGGTGGTGATCAAGCCTTGGGTGTCATTGAGCTTCTAGATCATGCATCTAGTTCATATTGAGGAACTTATGGAGGTATAAAGTCATAACCTTGTCATCTCTTTTGATTGTTTGAGCTAGGGTTTTGTTATAGAGTCCCTTTTTGGCTTTTAGGCCTTCTCTTGTAAGTTGAGAAACTCTAGAGATTAGGATTGCTAGATTTAAGCTCCTTGAGCATGTTTGAATCATAAAGGTGCCATCTTAAAGGCTGTTTTGACTCCATACATAAGTTAGAGGTCTTAAATGAGGTCTTAATGGGAAGAATGAAGTATTAGGGTCACTCATAACATGCAAGGGCATAAAGCTGCCAACTTTATACCCTAGGACATCTTAATGGACTCAAATCTAAAGTTTGGCATTGAAATCCCAAGTATTAAGCACTTAATGGTCGATTGATACATGTCATGCTTGTACATCGTGCATCATATTGTGTACGCAGCACGTATAGCTTAAGGGTCTAGTACGCTGAGTTACTGGAGTGGTACGAAGGGCGTACACACTCCAGTTGAATCTGGGATTTGTGTGGGCTTGTAAGCTTATTGGGCCTGGTCCCATTTAGAGTTTTGGGCTGATATTATGATTTGGTCCATAACTGTTTTGGTTGGGCCTTATTGGGCCATGTGGTCTATTAATGGCTTTTATCTTGGATCTTAGGCCCATTAGCAAAGGGAAGATCTTTGGGCCATTATTGTAACGACCCGTTCCCGGTATGTTAATTAATTGTTAATTGTCTAAGTTTTCAAGAGGGACTCAGCGAGTTCTAGCCTGACTCGCCGAGTTGGGTCGCGTATTTTGTGCACGCGGGAGCCGGGGACTCGGCGAGTCCGTCCGTCTGGGTGAAACCCTAAATCCCCGAGTTTGCCCACTATTTAAACCACATTATAGCCTCATTCTCGCCACTTTCACCCTGAGAACACAGTGAGAGAAACCTAATCCTCCCTTGAGAGCTTATAAGTGATTTGGTGCCATTTTTGTGAAGGTGTGAAGAAGGAGAAGAAGAAAGAAGCAAGGAAACGAGTTGTAGTGCAAAGATCCAAGGGCAAATCTGAGTTTATTGAGGTATTTTCGGAGTTCCCTTCTTGTTATATGCTTTAAACTTCCATTAGAGCTCTTCTAAGAGCTATTTGATGTTTGTTCCAAGCCTTATGTTTGCATGAATGTCTTAATAAGTCGAAATACCTTTGGATCTGAATGTTGGGGTGTTGTAGAGCCCAGATCTACTGTCTTTTTGGAGTTACATTGCATATTAGCCATGGATCTACTCATCTTGTGCATCTTTTAGCCTTATTTCCCTTATTCATGAGGTTGTGCACGTAAAGTTGGAAACTTTACGTGGTAAAACAGCTTATTGGACCCAGATCTATCATTTACATGTGTTGGATTCAAGAGAAATCGAGTAAAAACTAGATGCATGGCAGCGACTCGGCGAGTCGGGATGAGCGACTCGGCGAGTCGGGTCGCGAGTCCCCGATTCCTTCGTTTTAGCAGTGCTTGAGTGCACCCAGTGAGTTAGAGAGTGGACTCAGCGAGTTGAGGGTTGACTCAGTGATGGAGGGACTCGACGAGTTGTTCATACAACTCGGCGAGTCCAAGGCAATCTCCTTAGGATCAAGAACAACTCGTCGAGTCTGTTCATACGACTCGGCGAGTCGGATGAAGATTGTCTGAGTTCTTGGATCAAGAGGGTACTCGTCGAGTCGATGCCACACTCGACGAGTCGCAGTGAGTATGAGTTGGAAGTGAGTGAGACTCGGCGAGTTGGGCGGCCCAACTCGGCGAGTCAGCCCCAAAAGTAAGTTGACTTTGACCAAGGGTAAAAGAGTCATTTTACCCCAAGTGCAGTGTTTAGTATTTGATTGAGTGTGTTCATGGACTTGTAGCCGAGGAGATTCAGGAGCAGCAGCCGTTAGCTTTCAGAGACACACACTCAGCCGCCAGTTTACGAGGTGAGTTTCCTTCCAGTAGGGACGGGTCTAAGGCCACAATGCCGGCCCGTCCAGTTAGCAGTAGTTTCCGGACTTGATCCGATGCAGTAGTTAGTATGTTTGATGCCTTCGTGGCTCAGACAGGATTTGTGAGCTATGTGTTATGTGTTATGCATTATGTGTTCCGGGCTACGGCCCGATGTAGTATGCAGTATATGTGTTCATGCTAGTTGTTATGATATGCGATGCAGTTAGTTCCGGACTTCGGTCCGATGCAGTAAGTTCCGGACTTCGGTCCGATGCAACCAGTTCCGGACTTCGGTCCGATGCAGTTAGTTCCGGACTTCGGTCCAATGCAGGGAACAAGGTCCCAGTCAGTTCCGGACTTCGGTCCGATGCAGTTAGTTCCGGACCTTGGTCCGATGCAGGGGACAAGGTCCCAGTCAGTTCCGGACTTCGGTCCGATGCAGTTTCCGGGCTTCGTCCCGATGCAGTGGGCAAGGCCCGATATGTGTTTATATGATATTGTTATTGTATGGTATGTGGTTGATAGCTTCATTTTATTTACTTATTTTTATAGTTTATTTTAGTACATTTCATTCGCATTTTAGTTAACTTTCATGCATATTTTCCCTTTTGTTATTTTTATGACCATTTCGGGGTACTTTCTAG